AGCAGCTGTAGAGATATTTCTGTCTGGACCAATGCTAGACTGACAAACAAACAATGAATTAGATAAACAGGGTGTTTAGGGTAATTTTGAGTACATGAATTTGTACCTTCAAATGCCTTCATTCTATGATTGAAATTATGATTTTTATTTATTTTTTTCCTTTCCTGAATGTTTTTTAAATATCAAGCACTGGAAAAACAAAGTCAATGAAAAATATAAAACCAACTCATAAAAATGCAGTTACAGCACAGCAACACATGTAAAACTATCCGACAAATCAATTTTGTACTATTGACTGCAATGTTACAGAGATACGCTGCAGCAGTTTGTAATTTTACTGTGTACTTTGCTGTATGAAGTGTTTGAAATTAAATCTCAGCTTAGTGTTTAAACAAAGTGGCACACCAACAACTGTTCCAGTGAGAGTTGACTTTGTAACCTCAACATTTAATTTCTAGTTCCTATTTTTGTTAATTAGTTTTTTATATCTGATCAAAGTGACAAAGATATAAAATGCTTTAAAACTATCAACAATAAAAATCGAGTAATCTTATACCACATTTTATTTTAAGATGTTACTTTAAACCCCCTTTTTGCTGTTTTTTTCACCACCAGCTTCACAAACCAGTAACAATTATTTAGGGCCCGAGCGTAGCTGCTAAGCAGCTGCGAGAGCCCTATTATTCCTGATGGATTCTTCTTTCTTCTTTAGGGCCCGAGCGTAGCTGCTAAGCAGCTGCGAGAGCCCTATTATTCCTGATGGATTCTTCTTTCTTCTTCTTCTTCTTATTAGGGCCCGAGCGTAGCTGCTAAGCAGCTGCGAGAGCCCTATTATTCCCCAAGTGGTTTTTCTTTGTTTCTTTAGGGCCCGAGCGTAGCTGCTAAGCAGCTGCGAGAGCCCTATTATTCCCCAAGTGGTTTTTCTTTGTTTCTTTCTTTAGGGCCCGAGCGTAGCTGCTAAGCAGCTGCGAGAGCCCTATTATTCCCCAAGTGGTTTTTCTTTGTTTCTTTTTTCTTTTTCCTCCCCTTTGAACTGGAAAATGGCCCACTTCCCACTGGCGAAAACTCATGAAATTTGGCAGGACGACCGGGCCTGGTGAAAAATTTGATATTCTGAAGTTGCCCAAACAATACAATGCAAAATGGCTCCATAGCGCCCCCTAAGGTGAAAAATTCACCTGACGCCTGTACGCTTTGTCAAAATGACACAAAAATTGACACACACATGTATCTCAATAACATCTACAAAAAAGTCAGTGCGGGCGTATCTGTCAAATGTACGGTTAAAGGGTTATTTCGCATTTTTTGCCGATCCGCACACATTGGAATTTCGCTAACTCCTCCGAAGGCTTTCGTTCCACCGGCACCACATTTGCTCAGGCCAATCTACACCCCATGGCCATTAAAAGTTATTCAAATCATGATGCTGCACCCCATGGTTTAGGTTCTAGGGGGCGCCAAAAATAACCCAAAAATCCACATTCTTAAATGTTTTATAACTTTTTATTTTTGTCCTCACTGGCCTCCAAGTTTTCTAGGATGATGCAATGTCCAGCCATCAACACATTTGTGAAGGAATTTTTACTCCCCAAAAGAGCGCCCCCCCATGGTAGGAGACAAAAGTCCATTTTTTCTTGTCCCCTTACATGAAAATACACATTGTTGAGTGTCACGCCTGAACGCTTTGTCATATTGACACAGAAATTGACAATCATGTGTATCTCAATTAGATCTACGAAAAAGTCAAAGAGCGCGTATCTGTATAATGTACGGTTAAAGGGCTATTTTGCATTTTTTGCCGATTCGCACACATTGGAATGTGGCTATCTCCTCCTAAGGCTTTCGTCCCACTGATACCAAATTTGCTCAGGGCAATCTACACCCCATGCCCATTCAAAGTTGTAAAAATCATGACGCTGCACCCCACGGTTTACGTTCTAGGGGGCGCCAAAGATGACCCAAAAATCCACATTCTTAAAAGTCATTTTGGCCACTGCAGGAGTACAGAGTACTGCAGTTCTAGGGGGCGCCAAAGATGACCCAAAAATCCACATTCCTAAAAGTCTTTTTGGCCACTGCAGGAGTACAGAGTACTGCAGGATACACACACATATACACACACGCCAACATACACACACAGACACACACACACACACACACACACACACACACACACACACACACACACACACACACACACACACACTCAGAGTCTGTTTTGTAGCACCTGCAAAAACATGCTGTTTACATATTTGACAAGAATGCAGAGGCTTCCTTTTGCCCCTGAAAAAAATCAAATTTCAAACACAACTTGACTGTTCATTTCTCCAAAAGACAACCATGAAGCTCCATTTCAAACCTGAAGCAGATAGTTGGTGCATGTGTACAGTAACCTGAGGGGAGTGAGGTGACTATTTCTGAGGAGAACATGAGCAGTGAAGATTCACCTTGGAGGTAGAACAGAGACATGCACATGATTATACAGGGGCAGGGGCTCAAGTTTTTCCAGTTGTTTATACAATATGGAAATTAATGTGAAATCAAACCACAAATATCTGTGATGAACTGTTTTTTAAACTTAAACTTCAAATAAAAATTGTAAACTTCAAAACATATGCAAATTTTTAACAAAGAACATAGTAATTTACCTCTATTTACATCAAAATGCAGGCAATGGCCCAGGCGTTCTTTGTAAAATTATTTACAAAACACTGTATAGTCTCACAAATGTCACTTTTTATTTATGCCACTACAAAAAAACATGATGTAAATGATGCATGATGTAAAACATGATGTAAAAAACTTGTGTAGATCCTCCTCTATGTCAGTCCATGTGTAATTTTTCCATAATTCTTTGTTTTTTGCAGCATTTTTGTTAGTGTAACTGCAGATTGTGCTGACAGTGTCTATGGCAAAAAAAAAAAAAAAACTGAAAATGCCTCAACATGAACCCCTGGTGGTCTCTGAGGGTGAAACCTGCTAACTGCTGCAGCTCTGTCAGCTTCAGTCTCCCATGCAGAGCTCTGAGCGCATGTGTGGCTCTGCACCCTTAGCAGCGTTGCTAACTCCTCAGTAAGGAAAGCCTGCTTCATGTCAGAGTCTCTAAACTCCAGAAGAAGTCGATAAAAGTCACTTTCTTTCTAAAAAAAGTCGTTAGGGGGTCTGAAAAGTCATTGAATCTAACAACAAAGTCGCTAGGTTTGCAACTACGTGTCCCAGACTGCATCCCTGCTGAGAGTCCCTCCCTCCCTTCTCATGTTGCAGGAAGAACGTAAGCGCCCGCCCCTTGTCAATCAGTCACCATATAATTTTGGATTGGTTGTTGTGGTGAAGTTTTCCACCAATAGGAGAGATGTTGTGGTGTGTTTTTTTTTCTTTTGGCAAGCCTTTTCCGCCTGTAAGACCTGTCGCTAATGTCTGCATGCTATGTTTTCCTGTCTCATACAGCGCGATCGAGCGCCGAACGTGATCAAAATAAGCAGAAAAAAAGTATCGCGGACATAATTTATCATAACTCTGGTTTTATTTGACCTATCAACACAAATTAAAAACTGGTATATAGGTTGAGGTCCTCACTTTTGAGATAAGTTGTTAATAAGTTCATTTTAGGAATTATTGCATTTTTTGTGTTATTCCAATTAAAAAATCAGGGGTTTGCTAGATAAAAATGACTAAAAACCTAAAAAAAATTGATATCTATATTTTCATTACACTTTACATCTATGGATAGGTCATGATATAATGATTTAAAGCAAAAGAAAAAATTGGGATGTATAAGGTTTTTCACCGCACTTTTACAAGATTATAAGAAGTCTTTTTTTTGGCATGAGGGTAAGCAGTATAAGTTTATATTGGAAACTGTGATCGTGCACTTATAATTATACAACACAATCAATATTTGTATCAGTTGTTGACATAGTCAGGGCTTTTATATGTTTATCCAAAATCTTTCACTTTGCACCTCATTTTTGGAATTATTGCATATTTTTTGTTTTTCTACTTACAAAAATCATGGGTTCTCACGACAAAAGACCTAAAAAATATGTTTTTTTAAAATAACCTTTATATGTATGGATAGGTTTGAAGTTGTTGACAAGATATAATGCTTTAAAGTAAACAGAAATATGAATGTTTGACCACGAGTGTAGCAAGTGTCTGTAAATTTTAATGGGTACTTAAGGGTTACAGAACAATCCTTTATTTACATAATTAAGAAATATAGGCTACAGCGACAAACTGAACTTCTAATAATGTCAATAACTATGATATTTAAAAAAATTTACACATAATAAACATAAAAGCACCCACACGACTACACACAGTAAACATAGAATCACACATAATCAATAATTAACTACAATGGATCTAAAAAAAAAGACATGTCTCCCACTTCTCCAGAGTCACAGTTTTCATCTAACGTGCACCCCTCCTCTACTACATCAAGGCCACCAGCAATTGCTTTGTCAGCTGAGGTGAGGTCTTTGTCAGCTGCTTCCACTGGTGGTATACCTAAAAATGATTCAAATCAATGTTAATAATGTTTTAAATGATCACTTTCAGTTTACATAAAAACAGGACATGCAACATTCCCACATGTGTAACATGAACACACACACAGCACCTCATTGTTGTCCCCACATTTTGAATTCTATTGTCTTCTTCATCTTTGTCATTACAAACAATGCCACATACTTACTTTGCAATCCTGAGACATTGCTGGCACCCTCACCAGCCTTGTCTTCATCTGCAAAAAAACCAACTGCTTCACCTAAACACATATAAAATAACACTTAATCAATTATTGATAGACTGACCACGTACATCACAACACATACACAAAAAAAATCATATGAGTCAAAACAGTGAAAAAGAAATTACACACATAAAAATACAACAATTACCACTGCAATACATGAATTACATATTACATTTATTCAATGTGTTCAATAACACATTATAATTTTCACCTATATAAAGACAAACATGACTGATAAATACTTACACATGCTGTCAAGACCCACTTGGGCTTCCTCCAATTGCTTTGATAGAGTGAGGTTCGTGTCTTGTAAGCGTGCAATTTCCTCTTTTTGAGTTGTCATTGCTCTTTCAAGACAAGCAGACCGTTGTTCTGCTGCTTTAAGTTGGCGTGCCATTCTTGCTGTTGTCGTGAGTGCAAAAGTATGGCACGCCATACTTTCATGGAAGATGGCCCGTCTGTCTAGGGTTTCGTCCATTATTGCATACTGAAACAAAAAACAGACAGGAATAAGTAATCATAACAACATCATCAAAAACACAAAGTATGGTCATTTGAACCTAAAACACCACTATAGGACATAACATTCAGACTCCACCTGGAATGAAATACCCTGTTTGTTTTCATTGAAAATACCCTGGGTGTGGTCATTGAGGGCTTTCTCCAAGTTGTTAACTCTTTCAGGTTAACAATTAAATTAAAAGGGGACACACCCAGCGTTGACGACCCAACACCTCCCAGTTGTTTTCTGGGCCCTTTCAGTAAATCACACACATGCACCCTAGCAATTCTGAAATAGAGAAGCTTCTTGGATAAGAAGCCAATGTTTTCTGAAGTTCACACAGTCGTGTTGCATATTATTTAAGTTTTCAAGATGCTCCACAACAGCACACACATTTAACCACAAATGTAACATTTACTTTCATCAGTGCAATAATACACACATAATTAACATGCAATTCATTTAATGTAACTCCTACATCTACAGAATTTATGCTCTGATGCACAAACATCTGTATACTGAGCAATGCAGCTGCTACCTACGTAATAACAAAGCATTTTCGTATTACTGTGTTCACACAAAAACATTGTTCTTCATCATGTCCTCAATAATGGAATACCTACCACTATATATATTTAAAAATTCTTTACCAATAAAACTATCTTCGCGTCACTAGATAATACACCACAACACATGATAACAGTCAAATCAGATCCCGTACAACTTTTTAATTGCCAAACACAAACTTTAAACTTCATTCTCTAATCTAATCCAAATAATTTAAATTCACTACTTTAGTCGTGTTACTATGAAGTAGAATCCACATAATATATGTTTGTGCTTTCCATTTACTTACCGATAAAACCTGAAAACGGAGTCTGATCTCCCTTACGTCGGAGTTTTCAGTAGCACCAGCTGGCAGTTTTACAGGTGATGCCATCTGCAAAAAAAAAAAAAAAACATGTTTGCAACATTACATCAATAGCACATCATCCATTTAGATAACACTTAAACAATACGGAAATAAATTGTACTTACTGTAGTTTCCACTGTTGTTCCTCGTACGTGCAGCTTCACAGTTCTGCTTTACAGCTACTAAATTGGTGTAGCTTTACAGTTCTGTTTTAAAGACACTGAACTGTTAAGCAGGCACCCCAACCAATCACACACTGCGCTGATGAACACGTCACAATGTAACGGCACTCCAGCCAATCACACACTGCGCTGATGAACACGTCACAATGTAACACACTCCCTTACCTAATGAACATGTGACAATGCAATTGTATACATAGAAATATATAAATATATATATATATTTGCTAACACTTCAACGTCATTACCAGATGCCCACTACAAAACTTTCTGACAGCTTTAATTTTTTCTTTTTTTGTGTATTTCTATGTTCGGTTATTACAGCGTTACAAATAAACCTGTCGGTAGGCTCTTTTGAGGTAGAAACTCTGTAAATCGGCGTTGAAAATGGCAGCGACTTTTCCACTGAGTAAAAGACCGATATTAGACGTCTATCCTAAATGTATGCTTCTTTAATGTCGGGATTCGGGCTGTTTCTAGACGTGATTTATACTTCGCCCTCAATTTCATTTTTTGATAACTTTTTATGCAATAAGCAATTGTCATGTGCATAACTGACGTCCGGATTACATTAGTTATGATACCGTGCAAAGATATCCAGCATTGTTTTGCTTCAATCAATCATGAGGCATAGTGAGGCTGAAGCCTCAGGGCAGGTATTGCCACAGAGGAAAAAGTGCCTAGAAACTAAATGTCGTTGCATTTCAGTTGGGCAACATAGACTGTGATTCATAACATAGCTCTATTGACAGTAAGAACTAAAAAGAAATATCTACTCTTGCCATCTTATCGATTAATAGTAATCAGTGTTTCGGTGTCGAACTAGTTCCTTTGTGCGGTGAGTGATACATGAGCACGCGCAGTCGAATATGCAGAAGGGTGAAGCCATTTCTGTCACGTGGACCAATACGTAGCGAGTCTCGTTTCCATAGTTCACCCAGTATTTTGGCTACAGCTGGTGGCTAGTGGAAAACGTCACATAACCACCCATAACTGCAGTAAATTCGACAAAAGTACTACTAAAAACTGCCATTTTTTTGCGCGTGTGGGATAGGGGGGCTATTAGGTTTGCTTAGTTTAGGGGTTACAGAAGGTATAATCCGGGCCTGAGCATAGTATAGATGTAAAGAGTATTTACACGCATAAATTTATACTCCATTTCAACGTCAGGATTCGGTTTTTTTTAGACGTGATTTAGACGTAAACAATTATACGTCCTTTCAACGTCTACATATAGACCGAAGTCACACAATCAATATTAATCAACAATTCAAGAGTTGATTATTGAAAATGATAACTGGAGGTTGCAGAACTGATTTCGATTTATGGGACTACTTTCATCTTGGGAGCGTAGCCAGTGTTTTCGCCATATCCGGTTAAAACACTAATACGAAACAAACAAAAACACACCCACCTTCAGATCTTAAAGCCTGGGTCTCATTGAGTATTTCACAAGAAAATTGGTCGCTGAAATTTAATGTAAGTATTAGATTTCATGTGGTTTATCAGTGTCGGTAACGCCGATTGACTCTGTGACAATAACACAGGATCACATGAGCCCTTTCACGTGCCTATTCACGTGATCCTCCGTGTAACCACTTAGAGTAAGGTCTAATTCCGCCAAGAGCGAACTAGTCCGTGATAACAGTTGTCGGTATAACAGCAATACTACGAAATGAGCTACAATAAAGTATTTAGTAGCTCTGCAACAGCCCGGCTTTACACCTGTATTGACATTGTACCGTAATCGGACTAAAACATGTAAAAGGCTTCAAATTCTGGACCGCACAACATCCTACTGAATCACTGCGCTTTGTTCACATTCGCCCTCACTACCATGCAAAACTCCTATTTTGTTCGAACAAAACTGAATAATATGCGTAATTCTTCCTCTGCATATTGCAGGGCTTGTTGGTACAACTTCTGTTACATATTTAAGCTTTTTCTCAAACATTAATCAATGAAAACATCAGCTACAGCACTCATTTTCATGTGCAAAGTAGAGCCGCCGCCATTTTGTTCAATGTGCTTGTGCTAGGCGTCTCCTCGCTTAGCAACTGTATCTATGGAGGAGAGGGAGGGCTGGGTGGAGCCCGCCGAATGGTGTTCTGTTATTATTGGCTCTGACTGTAACCTCAGTCGCAAGTCATTAAATCCAGCTTTTCGATTGGTCGAGCTCCTCTTTATTTTCCAGTATTTTTGTCGCTCACTTCGTCTGACTGATCTTTTGAGGATAACAGACTACCTTCGACAGAGAGCGAGTTTTACGAGCAGATCTGTTTTTGAAGATTTTTTACACGCTTCACCGATACACATCTACATATACACATCTTCCACTACATCTTTCACATTTAACAAACACACACACACACACACACACAACACACAAATTCTCACGGTCAACCTCGGCTGAGTTTGACTGTCTTTTATTCCACCTATCCACGGAACGGCTGCTCATCTCGTCTGTTACAACTTCAGTACGGTAAGTCATGTGTTATCAGCTTATTTGTTGTGTTTTGCTGTTGTTGAGGGAGAAGTTTTGCTCAAACATGCAGCTAAAAAAACTGTTGTGGCTAAGATAGGCGTGCTGAGTTGTTTACACAGGGCCGCTAACAAAGTAGCTAGTGTGCTACTCTGTTAGCGGCCCTGTGTAAACACCAAGCTAGTTGTAACTTCGTTATTCTGTGACTTCACTGCACTCTCGGAGATCACAATGTAGCATTTTGTGGTGGTGGCGGAAGTGTATTGTGTTGTTTCGCGTTCTTTGTCCGCATCGCAGAGGGGCTATTGTCTGATTTTGCGGTCTGTGTCCACATTGCAGTGCAATTATTGTCTTGTTTCGCTGTCTGCGTCGGCATCGCAGAGGGGCTCTTGTCTGGTTTTGCGGTCCGTGTCTGTGTTTTTGGGTTTATTTGTCGTATTTTGCATGCTAACCAAACTGTTGTGGCTAACTAGGCGTGCTGATGTGATGTTTACACAGCGACGCTAACAAAGTAGCTAGTGTGCAACACTGTTAGCGGCGCTGTGTAAACAGTAAGCTAGTTGTAACTTCGTTATTCTGTGACTTCACTAAATTCTTGGAAATCATAATTTAGCATTTGACGGCGGTGGTAGTCTATTTTCTTGATTCGCTTTCTGTGTCTGCATCGCAGACGGGCTCTTTTCTGGTTTTGAAATCTGTGTCGACATTGCAATGCAATATTTTTCTTGTTTTGCTGTCTGCGTCGGCATCGCTGAGGGGCTATTGTCTGGTTTTGCGATCTGTGTCTGTGTTTTTAGGTTTATTGTGGTGTTTTGCTGTTGTTGAGGGAGAACTTCTGCTTAAACATGCATGCTAACCAAACTGTTGTGGCTAACTAGGTGTGCTGATTTGATGTTTACACAGCGACGCTAACAAAGTAGCTAGTGTGCAACACTGTTAGCGGCGCTGTGTTAAGCCAGTTGTAACTTCGTTATTCTGTGACTTCACTAAATTCTTGGAAATCATAATTTAGCATTTGAGGGTGGTGGTAGTCTATTTTCTTGATTCGCGTTCTGTGTCTGCATCGCAGACGGGCTCTTTTCTGGTTTTGAAATCTGTGTCGACATTGCAATGCAATATTTTCTTGTTTCGCTGTCTGCGTCGGCATCGCTGAGAGGCTATTGTGTGGTTTTGCGATCTGTGTCTGTGTTTTTAGGTTTATTGTGGTGTTTTGCTGTTGTTGAGGGAGAACTTCTGCTTAAACATGCATGCTAACCAAACTGTTGTGGCTAACTAGGTGTGCTGATTTGATGTTTACACAGCGACGCTAACAAAGTAGCTAGTGTGCAACACTGTTAGCGGCGCTGTGTAAACATTAAACCAGTTGTAACTTCGTTATTCTGTGACTTCACTAAATTCTTGGAAATCATAATTTAGCATTCGACGGTAGTGGTGGTAGTCTATTTTCTTGATTCGCGTTCTGTGTCTGCATCGCAGACGGGCTCTTTTCTGCTTTTGAAATCTGAATCGACATTGCAGTGCAATTATTTTCTTGTTTCGCTGTCTGCGTCGGCATCGCAGAGGGGCTATTGTCTGGTTTTGCGATCTGTGTCTTTAGATTTATTGTGGTGTTTTGCCGTTGTTGAGGGAGAACTTCTGCTTAAACATGCATGCTAAACAAACTGCTGTGGCTAACATAGGCGTGCTGATTTGATGTTTAAACAGCGACGCTAACAAAGTTGCTAGTGTGCAACACTGTTAGCGGCGCTTTGTAAACAGTAAGCTAGTTGTAACTTCGTCATTCTGTGACTTCACTAAATTCTTGGAAATCATAATTTAGCATTTGACGGTGGTGGTGGTATTTCATTTTCTTGATTCGCGTTCTGTGTCTGCATCGCAGACGGGCTCTTTTCTGGTTTAGCGGTGCAATTACTTTCTTGTTTTGCTGTCTGCGTTGGCATAGCAGAGGGGCTATTGTCTGGTTTTGCGATCTGTATCTGTGTTTTTAGGATTGTTGTGGTGTTTCGCTGTTGTTGAAGGAGAATTTCTGCTTAAACATGCATGCTATCAAAACTGTTGTGGCTAACACAGGGGTGCTGATTTGTTGCTACACAGCGCCGCTAACAAAGTAGCTAGTGTGCAACACTGTTAGCGGCGCTGTGAAAACAGTAAGCTAGTTGTAACTTCGTTATTCTGTGACTTCACTAAATTCTTGGAAATCATAATTTAGCATTTGACGGTGGTGGTGGTAGTCTATTCTCTTGATTCGCGTTCTGTGTCTGCATCGCAGACGGGCTCTTTTCAAGTTTTGAAATCTGTGTCGACATTGCAATGCAATATTTTTCTTGATTCGCAGACGGGCTATTTTCTGGTTTTGCGGTGCAATTATTTTATGTTTTGCTGTCTGCGTTGGCATAGCAGACGGACTATTTTCTGGTTTTGCGGTGCAATTATTTTATGTTTTGCTGTCTGCGTTGGCATAGCAGAGGGGCTATTATCTGGTTTTGCGATCTGTATCTGTGTTTTTAGGATTATTGTGGTGTTTCGCTGTTGTTGAAGGAGAATTTCTGCTTAAACATGCATGCTAGGAAAACTGTTGTGGCTAACATAGGCGTTCTGATTTGATGTCTACACAGCGTCGCTAACAAAGTAGCTAGTGTGCAACCAAAATGGGTTAGCCTCACTGTTTAGTTATTCTCTCTGTATTTTTTGGTGCTTATATAACATAACACACATGTTTAAATTTTGATATGAAGTTTTACAAATATAATAGGTATTATATGTATTATCTATACTTTCAGATGCCAAAAGTGAAGGGTTGGCGTCGATCACAGGCCGCAACCAGGCGCCGCGCTCAGCGCGAGTTCCTGATTGTTGGTCCACAAGGCCACAGTGATGACGTGCCTACAGGTGTGTAACATTTTCTTTTAAATGTATCATTTTTTCTTCACGCACTATATTGCAAACAGTTTCTTATTTCTTTGTATCTTGGAAAAACACATACAAATCAGGTTTACTGTTTACATTTTACAATAATACATGTCAATGTTATCTGTTTAATAGGCACTGTCGGGACTGGTTATCGCCATCGTGTTAACCAGTGGCCAATATCTGTGTTGACTGGTCGGCAACACAAATTGGTCATTCCTCCTGAGGTTCCTGACAAGAAGGCATGAAACTGACATTATTTTTTACCCTCACAACACATATTTCAGCTGATACAGTATTTAATTAGTACTTCTCCCTTTTTCATCCTAGTTTGTTCTTATCGTTGGTGACTCTCACCTGCGCCCGTTTGCTGATGGGGTTGTGCCATTGCCTGAAGGACGGATGTCCTTTGGGTTCATGTCCACACCAGGGGCCTGCGCTGATGGACTGAGGACTGAGATGGTACATGCTGCTGTGCCTCGCAATCCTGACTTGGTCATTGTCATGGCTCCTAGCAACAACCTTACAACCCAAGGGTCTCTTGAGAAGTCGTCTACAGATTTTGCTAAACTTCTCTCCACTGCCGTTGGAAGGTGGTTCAAGGTGGGGCTATGATGTCATTAACACATTTTGTAGTATCTCAATTATGGTTATGCTCAGTAATAACTCTTGTGTTTTTTGTCCTTCTGGTGTGTTTGCTATTTTTATAGGTAATTGTGTATGACTTTCCACCTCGGCTGAACCACCCTTTGGATCATCAGGAGCTGCTGCGGCAGGAATTCCGTCGAGTTGCAGCACGTATGGGTACGTTTTACAACACTTTAAATTCGCCTTCATGACAAAATTCTAAATGACAATATCATCATAAAACCAATCATATAAAACATCTACAGCAAACCCAAACAAATTACATGTATTTTTTAGAGTAACTCACAACTCTGTACATTTTATGGACACAGTGAAAGAATAATTGTCTTTTCTGTTTGTGGTAAAATACACAAATTTGTACTAATGCTTCACTTTGTCTCACTTTACATTAACAGGCATTCGATATGTTTGCCCTGCTGCTGATGACTTCCCCCTGAGACGCCTTAAGCTGTGGTGCAGGGATTCTGTTAGTACAATCCCTACTCATCTGATGTTTCATATGGACTTCATAATAAATGCACACATTTTTGCATCATGCAAATTTGTGATCATGAAAATTGTCTTGTCTTCTATATAGGTCCATCTCAGTGATGATGGTGGGTCGCCTATTCTGGGGCAGCGTCTCTGGCAGGCGGCGTACACTGAACTGGATAGAGGTGATCCTGCATCAGTGCTGTCAGTGCAGCGCAGGCGCTCGCCCCTGAGCACTGTCACACCAAAGGTGGTTGTGAGGGGAGAGGTACCTGCACCTCAACCATCCAACGCCTTTGAGTGGACAGTGTGTGGAAAGGTGCACAAGGTAAACATAATTCCTGTGTGTCTATATACATATAGTATATGTATTTAATACAGTATTGTTAATTTTCAACTTACTTATCACAGCAGAATCTCTCTGGCAACGAGGTGGAGGACTCTGCTCCATGCACTCAGCAGGTTTGACATCCTTTATACAACACAACTATCATCACAATTTCTGTATGGATTACACACATTTTCTTTGAGAAGAAACCCTTTTCTAAATTATTACTTTATTTATTCTATTTTTTTTTTCTCTCCCTCCATCCTAGTTGTCAACAGTTGGGTTGCGAGACTGTTTTGTGCGTCTCAACCCTATCCATTTCAGTCCACACCTGCTGGATGCCATGGAGAAGATTTCGCCATCCCAGCTTCCCAACCCTGTTCCACAAGATGATGAGGTCAGTGAAAATGTCACACTACAGCAGCACTTTGATTGTTCATTCATAATATGTTTTGTGTTGCACAACAACAATGCTTAGAAGAAATATTGTTTTATTCAGATGCCACGTGTGGAACCACGCAGGACTGTGGTTGCATCTCGGAGGATCCCTACCAGGAAGCAGGTTTGTTTCTTCATTGGCACACATGGTGTATTAATATGCAAGCACGCAGAGCTAGGTTTGCATCTAAACCAAGTTTATCATACAGAACGGAATAATAACATTGAGAAATTTTACTTGGCCCTTAATTTCAAAAAATGTTTTTTCTTAATTCATACACAAATAGGATGTTTAGTATCATCAGTTAATGATTCTTTCTTCAACTATAAAAGTACAGTTTTTTCAATTTGACCTTTTTATCAATGACAATATATTATACACAAACTTTTGTGTGCAGGGAAGGGCCTTGCGTGTCCAGAGCCCAGCTGAGCTGCAGACAACTGAGGTGCCTCCTGCTACAGAACTCACTTCACCTGAGGTGGGCTTGGAGAGGGTGGCAGAGCTCCAGACGTGCCAGGGCGTGGTGACGGTGGACACTGCCATCCTGTCAGCACCCCAGCCAGATGGAGGCACCCAGGTGGAACAGGTAAGTATGCATAAACATCTTCCTCACCCCCCTCTTGTGTTTGGTGATTTTGATCGCTCACCTGTGCAGTTTAGCAGTATGGAGACTGAGGCAGTACAGTTTCTGTGCACTGAGATTGAGAGTGAGATGTCTGACCCAGGTTGGGTAAGAGACAGTATCCAAGGATCATTTCACCAGGGAAGTGATTTATTAAGTAATCACGGAACACAGTGTATGGCAATTGGGCTGGCCAGCGTTGCCAAACACAGTGTCAAAAGCGTTTTCTCGTGGAGTGTGGCTGATCTCGACACAGTTTTGCTCTGTGGGGATCAACTGTACACATATCTGAGAAATAATGACAAAATCAGTGGCGGTTCTGATTTTTTGTGTATTCCTGATTTGCCTGCTTCACACACAATTGATGGCATGGAGTTTGACTTTGAGTATGGTGATTACATGTCTGGACTCATCAACCAGACTGATGGATCACCCATTGCACCTGGGTTGACAACATTGCTGCATAGTCTACAAATTCTGTTTGCCAAATATGACACATGCTTTTTGACATTGCATTGCAGCACATGTGTTGTCATTCATGAGAATAATATGTTTGCTGTTGTTGATTCTCATGCTCGAAATGCTTTGGGCCTGGTGGATCCTGATGGCAGAAGTGTTGTTGCATATTTCCATAACTTGCAGGAACTGTATACACATGCATTAGCCTTGGCTGCATCACAGCATGTGAGCAACCAGGCTTTTGAAGTTGCTGGTGTGCGTGCAATCCCCAGAATGTCAGCAATTGAAAGTATGTGTTTGCCATCCAGCTCAAGAGTACATACTGAAATACTGAGCAAAATGAAGAGTGTCTATGCAGATGTACAGCAGGAAGTGTCACACTCCAAGCAGGGGTGTTCATCCAGTACATCAGTACATAGGAAGCAAGGCTTGAAACGTCAACGCTTTGTGCACGCTCCTGCTGCCAAGAGAGCAAAGACGAACAATTTTGGTGATGATGTATTCATTGTTAAAGACACAAACAACACGAGTGCAAATAATAGTAATGATGTTGTGTGCATTGATGATGCAATAAGCCAGACTGACGACGATGTGATGTGTGTTGGTAATGGAGCCCAACAAGATTTAGTGTTTAACCCCCTTCAGTTAGAGGTTGCCAAAGTTTTGTGCAACACTTTAGGGATAGAATGTCAGAAAGTTGATGTGGAAGGATTTGTAGCAGGCATATTAGGACCTCCATGCAAGAAGCAGCCTATTGTCGGCGATGGCAATTGCTTCTTCAGAGCTGTGAGTCATGTTTTGTCTGGTAGTGAGAAGTTTCACAGGAAAGTCAGGTTGGCAGTTTGTAAACACATTGAATGTCATCCTGGATCATATGAGCACATTCTGAGAAATGAATTTACCTCTGTCAAAGAATATGTTCACATGTCCAGAATGCGATATGTGGGTAGTTGGGCCACAGAAGTGGAGATTCAGGCTGCAGCAGATTGTTTCGGGGTTAGCATTTTTACCTACATTGACAATCGATGGCTTCAATACAGCTGTCAAGGTCGACAATTATCAGAACAGGCAGTGTATTTGGAGAACTGTAATAACATCCATTATGAGGCTGTTGTCTGTGTTCGACAACCTAATGTGGACTGTGATTGCTGTGATTTCTGTAAAGGTGCTGTTGCACATAGTACCAACTATGGTTTGACACAGGTGAGCAAAGATGCGCCATATAACCTCAGGACAGGATGTCAGGACTTCAAGCAACAGAGTCATCACATTTTAAGTCCTTCACATCATGAAAAAAGGTTGTCAAAATATCTTAAAAAGAAGAAGTTTTTGCAAATGAAAATTAACTACCACAAAAACTTCTTGGATTACAACAGACGTAACCAACATGTTAGGAATAGATATAAGCACAATCTGTTGTATCAACAGAAACTCAAGGCTTTAAGTAAGGTCAAATACTTAGATGAGGTGCACAAAGAAGATGTTAAAAACAGAATCAAAATTAAGTATAGAGACGATAATACCCACAGACAAATTGTTAAAAATAGAAGCAAGGACAGGAGCAACATTAAATATAGGGACGATCATACCCACAGAGAAATTGTTAAAAACAGAAGCAGGGACAGAAGCAAAAGTAAATATAGGGACGATAATACCCACAGACAAATTACTAAAGACAGAAGCAGGGAAATAAGTAAGGTTAAATATGGAAAAGCTGCATTTAGACAGACAAAAATAAACTTAGTAAAGACAAATTACCACCAGAACCCAGAACACTTCCTTGCATCTAAGAAACTTAGAATATTAAAAAGGAAGGCAAAACTAGAACAGATGGACTTTGTAATTGAGCAGTTTTTGGAAAAAATCAAAGATGGGCCAGCATTTGTGTGCAGTGTGTGCCATAGACTGTTGTTTAAACACCAGGTTTCGCGTTGTAAGCTAGACAAGTACAGTAGCAATACAAAGACAGCTGGTGTCGCAGCTAGATGTATTAAAGATGTGTATGTGCATAAATGTATGTCTTCTTGTGCCGTACCATGTGTTTTGAAAGCTTCCCCTCGTGGTAGTTTGTGGATTTGTCATTCATGTCATGGCAAGGTCAGTAAAGGTGACGAGCCAGCTGAGAGCGCATCCAATAATCTGACCGTTGATCCAATTCCACCTGAGTTGGCTTGTTTAAATCGCCTAGAGTCGCATTTAATTGCACTCCATATCCCCTTTTTGAAGATGGTAGCTCTTCCTAGAGGTGGTCAAAATGGTGTTCATGGGCCGATTGCATGTGTTCCAGCCAACATTGTCCAAACCAGTAACGCGTTGCCACGTTCAAACATGGAAGGTTCAGTTATTCCCGTTAAACTGAAGCGCAAGCTTACTTATAAAGGACATTATGCATACGAGTATGTTGACCCTATGCATATCAAGAAAGCACTGCATTATCTGAAAGAGAACAATCCGTTCTACAAAGATGTGCAATTCAATGATGACTGGATAAATGAATTTTGCAGGGATGAGAGTGCTGACAAACAGCAGCAGAGTATTGTTGATGAACAGGGAGGATCAAATGCAGAGAGCTCTGAGGCATCTGCAGCTGAGGCAGCTGCAGCTGAGGAAGAACTTCTGCATGATCGGCAGCAGCATTGCATGTTTCAAGACACATGCTCAATGCCTGTTGATATTGGCCAGGAAGCGCTGGACCAATATTTTGATGGTGTTTTGAACTTGGCTCCAGCTGATGGACAGAACCCTGTGAAGGTTTTGACAACAAAGGAGAACGAGGCCAAGTGTTTCCCTGTGTTGTTTCCAAAAGGCCGTGGAACATTTTTTGATAATAGAAAATTTTCTCTGACTCTGTTCCGCTATTTGAGCAACAGGCTATATCATGCTGATGGTAGGTTTGCGCAGAATATTGAGTTTATTTTTTATGCTTGTTACATGCTTGAGTTACACCAAGTCATGTCCAGTGTGTCAATTGCGTTGAGAAAAGGGAAAGCCAGTAAGGTCAGAACAAAGATTAGTGATGTATTGAAAGATGAAGACAACCTGCGTGACCTTTTAAATCATGATGATGGGTACCGGTTTTTAAAACCTGTAAGGGGTACTCCAGCATTTTGGCAGGGAATTCAGAAGGATTTGTTAGCATGCTTGCGACAGCTTGGCAAACCTGCATGGTTTTGTTCATTTTCTGCAGCAGATTTGAGGTGGAAGGAATATTTAGAGAACATTCTTAGGGCAGAGGGGCGAACACAGACATTTGAGGACCTGGAGTGGGCAGACAAGTGCGACCTGTTGCGTCGTAATCCTGTACTCGCTGCTCGCATGTTTGATTATCGCTGGCATCTGTTTTTGAAAGAGGTGTTGATGTCTCCAGCAAATCCAATTGGCAAAATCCTCGACTACTTTTACAGGGTGGAGTTCCAGCAGCGTGGCTCTCCACACGTTCATTGTCTGTTTTGGATTGAGAATGCCCCTGTAATTGATGTAAACACAGATGATGAGGTTGTTCAGTTTATTGATAGATATGTTTCATGTGAACTACCTAACAACACTGACGATTTACATGAGGTTGTTTCTTCAGTGCAGCAGCATTCAAAGCAGCACTCCAAAACTTGTAAAAAAGGTGGAAAACAGTGCCGCTTCAATTTCCCAAAACCAGTGTCTGCTAGGACTTTCATTTCCAGGGCATATAAGGAGGTTGAGATGGAGTGCGTGTGTCAGCGCAACGTCCATAACATAGTAGAACAGTGCACTTGTGGCAAGGAAGAAAATGAGAAGAAGCACAAGCAGGAAGGGGAATTTGCTGTTAAGGTTTTTGAATTAATAGCTAAAGCGTTGTCAGACGAGAACTGCACAATTCAAACTGCAGATGAGCTATTTGCGAGTATAGGTATACGACAGGAGACATTTGAGGCAGCATACAGGAGGTTAGGGAAAAAGACAGAGGTGATTATGCGACGGCAGGTTACTGATACGTGGATCAACCCACATTCCAAGACTCTGTTAAAAGCTTGGAATGCAAACATGGACATCCAGTATGTGACTGATGCTTATGCTTGTGTAGTTTACATCATTTCATACATCTCTAAAGCAGAAAGACAGATGGGATTGATGTTAGCAAATGCACAGCGTGAAGCATCTAAGGAAGACAACCTCAGTGCCAAACAGGCTTTGAACAGGCTAGGAAGTGTTTACCTTCACAACCGAGATGTTGGAGCTCAGGAGGCAGTCTACAAGCTCAGCAACATGCACTTAAAAGAGTGCTCTCGGAAGGTGGTTTTTGTACCGACAGGTGATAATGTTGTCAGGATCAGCAAGCCATTGACTGTGTTAAAAGACATGGCTGCTGAATCCACAGAACAGATGTGGATGATCAACTTTGTTGACCGTTATAAAAACAGACCCAGAGATCATATATTTGAAGCCATGTGCCTTGTCCACTTTGCTGCTGAGTATCGTGTGCTCTACAAAGGTGAAAAATCAAAAAACCGAATTGAACTTGATAACGGCTGTGGGTCTGTGTTGAGAAGAACCCGTACGCAGCCTGCTGTTGTAAGGTACGCAAGATTCTCTGAGACTAAAAGTCCAGAGTTATTTCACCAAAGCATTTTGCAGCTGTTTCTTCCGTATCGTACAGAAGAACAGCTAAAGCCAGAGGGATTTGTCACTTTTGAAGACTTTTACAAAACTGGCCGTGTCATCATTGCTGATGGACAGCTACGTTCAGTGAAGTCAGTTGTGGACTCAAATCGCTGCAATTATGAAATAGATGCTGATGACTTAGATGAGGTTTTGGATTCTGTAAATTTTGATGGTCCTCTAGAAGATGCGTGGGGGCAATTGTTCCCACAGCAAGAAACTGAACGCCTGGAGTCAATCCAGGAACGGGCAGAGCAGATAGAGGTAGACAATAACCCAGTGGAACATATTCCTGATCTGGCTGGGGGTATAGAGCAGGCTAAGGTAACTAAGTGCAACAATTTAAGTAGAAGCGAGGGATTGGCATTATGCAGGTCTTTAAATGATGACCAGATGCGTGTGTTAAACAAGGTCCATCAGTGGTGCGTTGTTAAAGCAGCAGGTAGAAACCCAGACCCCTTTTATGTGTTTGTAACAGGTGGTGCTGGCGTTGGAAAATCGCATTTAATCAGAGCGATTCAATACGAGGCCACAAGGTTATTGTCACCAATGTGTCGACAACCTGACAATATCAGTATTTTGTTGACTGCACCAACAGGGATTGCTGCATATAATCTGCATGCAACCACCCTGCACAGTACATTTAGCATAGGGAAAGATGTTCGCCTCCCTTATGTGCCAATAGGTGAAGAAAAGCTAAACACATTGAGAATGAAATATTGTGATCTCCAAATCTTGATAATTGATGAAATTTCTATGGTGGATCACAATATGCTCACTTATGTGCACGGGCGACTTCGCCAAATTAAACAGACAGGCATTCACACTCCATTTGGAAATGTGAGCGTCATGGCAGTGGGGGATTTTTATCAGTTGCCTCCAGTGAAAGGAAAACCGTTATACATGGAACCACTTGGAGTTGATCTTTGGAGCACTCATTTTAAGGTTGTCAAGTTGACAAAAGTAATTCGGCAGACAGACGAAGATTTTGCCGGACTACTGAATCGAGTTCGGACGCATCCAAAAGACTCAGACATGTTGCAAAGTGATATCACCACTTTGAAACAGCGAGAAACTGGCGAAGAATGCTCAGGTTTGCATATATTTGCCACAAATAGCCAGGTCAATGAGCACAACTTTGAGCAGCTGCAAAGAACATGTCCAGATTACCATGTAATACAGGCTCAGGATTATATAAACAACTCAAAAACAGGCAAACTGGAATTGAAAAAAGGCTATCATACACTAACATATAACACTTGTTTAGATGCAAAATTGTTATTGGGTACTGGCTCTCGTGTCATGTTGACAAAAAATTTAGATTTGGCTGACGGCTTGGTTAATGGTGCATGTGGCACAGTAACAGATGTAGTTTGTGTTGAAAATGAAAAGTTTCCTCAGTGTATTTTTGTGAAATTTGATGATGAAGTAGTTGGTGTTGAGAGGAGGAAACAGTCAGGAAGGGTGTCAGATCATCTTGTTGGTTCCACGGCTATTACACCGGAGGAAGAAAGAGTGACAAAGAAGGGAGGTATGCGCCGTCAATTTCCGCTTCGTCTCGCCTGGGCCTGTACTGTACACAAAGTACAAGGCCTCACAGTTGATACAGCCATAGTCAGTATGAAAAAGGTGTTTTCTGCTGGTCAGGCTTACGTGGCTTTAAGTCGTGTCAGGACTCTTATGGGATTGATCATTCAAGATTTCAATCCCAAAAAAATCTATTGTCGGCCAGAAATCGCTCAGGCCACTTCAAGGATGGCTTCGTTCCTAGAACCTATCACCTGGCAAGGGAGAGTGGAGGACACTTTGACAGTGTTCCTCATGAATGTTCAGGGTTTGAGACGCCATGTGTCTGACTTGGCTCAGCACACACAGCATTTGCAGCCAGAGTGCATTGCTGTGACTGAGACGTGGTTGCATCCAGGTTGTTCCTCTGAGACACTCAAGATAGCCAACTACTCTCTGCATAGTTGTCCACGAGCTCTGGCATATGATGGTCAAACTGCCCCATTTGCCTCTTTGCAGGCAAAAGAACATGGGGGAGTTGCAATGTATTGTGATGGAATTATGCAGTTTGCAATCATCAAGGTGCCTTGTTTCAATGTGGAATGTTTGGTGTACCACTGCATAAACCTCAACATTTTCCTTACAGTCATATATCGGCCTCCAACCTACCCCATGACACTATTCAAACAAAATATTATCAAATTACTCCAATGGCTGGAACAAATTGGCAAAAACATTATTGTCATGGGAGATTTCAACGATGACATATTGAAGGCATCTTCAATTTGCAAATTTTTCCAAGATAGAGGTTATGATCAGGTGATCACCCAGCCTACCACAGAGCGAGGCACTTTGATTGATCATGTTTATGTGAGAGGGGGCATTTTCCACACACAAGCTGAAGTAATGCCTTCATATTTTAGCGACCATGAAGGTATTTACTGCAGCTTTAAAATTTGTGATTAATCATGTACACTGCTGTTTTTGATATTATTAATGCTTTCCATAGAAAAGTAGATGTAACAGTGTTTTAGCAGGTTTCCAAACAGCTGGCTAATGGATCAATTTACAACGCCTGGACAAACCATGATGTCAACGCAAGTGACCACTTCAGGACATTGTAAGTATGAACATTTATGGTGATTGTATGAAAACTAACATGTGATATATAACCTCTCCACTTCATTTACACTTGCAATTATTCTGAACATCACAACTTAACTACAAAGAATGAAAACATTAGCAATGCGCCTATTTACTATTTCTCCAATATGATGACTCCTTCATTTGTCAGCATGTAACTGATGTGATCTCTCCTCTCCTCACTGTTTCAACAAATATACCATACATCTTATGTTTGCTCCAGCTGAAGACTGACCAGCCCATCATTACTCCACCTTTGGTGAGATGAGACCCTGATGGATTACTGAAACAATACACAATTGGTAAGTGTGAATTTCAATTTATACTTGACTATTTTCATTCATACACTATACTACTTGTGTAAACACTCATTGTGTCTCTTCCTCAGAAGGGATGCATACAACAGTGGTATATGATTGCAATTATCATAATTCTAACTGTGTGATAATGTAACTGATGTGTCATGTCTTCTTCACAACATGTAACCATATATTTATCCCATGACACCACCATCACAGGAGATATCAGCCACTGCCAACTCCAGCCAGAAACTAATGCATGCTAAGCAACTGTGTTATCACTATATGTTCATTGATTCTGATTATGTGAACATGTAACTAATATATTGTCTCTTCTTTACAGCCTGTAACCAACAACTCAACCCGCTACTACTCCAGAGATCAGCCTATGTCAAATCCACCCAAAAAGGGATGCAGCACACACTTCACATGTACCAGAAATTGTTATTTTTGTAATTGTTTCTCAGCTTTTTTGTAATAACAAGTCACATAATTTAATTTCATAATACATTTTGATATTTAATTTGTATTTCCTTTGTACCTAAATTTTTATTATATGTATTGCAATGTATTTTAAATATATGAATTTTGTATGAATGATCACACCATTTTTGATAACCTACTCTAGGATTACACACAAAACTATCTATGGTTAACTCTGGTGCATTTACATGCCTTTTAACTTTATTAATTGACATGCTTATCACTGTGCACTGTCCCTGATAGATAAATAAATAAATAATAATATACATCACTTCTAATAATTTATTTATATTACATATTATCCGCTGTGCTTGTACATGAATTAATTCATTTTACCATTCAAACATCTTGAGTTATTGTACTGACTTTCAGTGGAAAGGTTGTATTCCAATTGTGGACTGTCTACTTTATTATCAGATGTACATATCAGATGGCACTAAAGGGACAAAATTTGTCATGGGTGTATTATCCATCAAAGGGTTCTTCTTTTGCAAGCGTCTTGGTAGATACTTTGCATGCCGCTGCAAGCTTCACATTTCAGGTGAAAAACTTGACTTGCTTGGAGACACAGCACATCCCCAAAGAAAATACAAAAAATCTAAAAACAACACAATCAGCTCAGACTGTATGAGAGCTTATCTCTAAACACAAAAATCTCTAAACCAAACATATTTCAACACAACTGATCCGCTCTACTACAACAATCAAAAACATACAAAAGGCTGACACAACTACAGCAGAGTCTCAAGACAACATTAAGTTTTCTTTTAAGATTTAGATATTAAAATTGTAAATTTAGGAGAATAATTCATAAGGTATATAAAGTCATAAAACTACTTTTGTGGAGGAGGAAATGACTAAAGCTGGTCATCTGCAGGGTTACCGCTCGATGTATCAACAGGTAATTCATAGACTTCTAGTGGTTTCTGAAGAAACAATCAAACTGATAATAATCAGCATTTGTGTTTCAGAGTGGATCAAGCTCAGAGGAGTACCACATCTCTGACACCATCACTAGCCTACACCTGCACAGACAACAACACCTTATGGCATATGGATTCTTAGAAACCACAGCCCAATGTCATCCACAAATATTTACAACTGCATAAACAAATATACCCTCGGCATATTCATTTCTGACTCCATAAAAATAGCTTTTGTAGAGGCTGAAATTAATATGCTAGGGATACATCTGTCAATGTAGCCGTGAATATCTGTGAATGACATTGAACTTTATTTTATGATATGTATCCATATGCCAGAATAAGGTGTTGATGTCTCTGCAGGCATAAATTACCACAATGTCTGAAACGTGATGCTCATCAAAGCTCAACTCCCTCTGTATCACAAATGTTGATCATCATCAGTTTGATTGTTTCTCACATCCACAGATAAACCTGCACATAACCAGCTTCAGTAATTTCCCCCTTCACAAAGGCAACTTTATGACTTTCAATACATTAGGACTTCCTTCTCCAAAATTTACAACTTTAATCTCTAAATCTTAAAAGAATAAAAAAACATAAATGATGTCCTAATCCTCTGCTGTAGTTGTGTCAAGTTGTGTTCTGTTTTTAATTGTTGAAGCAAAGCATATCATTCATCTCTAACTCTTTAGTGTTTGGTTTACAGATTTTAGTGAGCTCAGACATCATGCTCTCAGATAGCCTGAGCTGACTCTCTGCTGTTTTTGGATTTCTTGTACATTCTTTTAAGCCACACTGTGTCTTCAAGCGAGTCCAGCCTCTCACCTGAAATGCACGTCTGTGCAGCAACAAACACAGCATTCTGAAATACCAACAGTGAATGATAAGTATGAGTGTGTCATTGTATAAAAAAAGAAAGTGGTTTACTTACACATCCATAGAAAAAATGTGGTTGCACACAACACGCAAACAAAGCTTTGCCACAACAGTGACACTTCCCAAGTAGCCAATACCTAGGTCACACAATCATAGTGAACAAAGCTCAAACCAGGCCAGGCACTCACAACGCTGGCTGTGGCAAGTGAAAGTGAAAGCAACACGCAATGGCAGGAAGAACAGCAAACACCAATGAAGCAAAGGGGTTTTTGCAGTGATGGCCGTTACCAGAGAGAGCTATGGCCGGGGGGGGGGGACGCAACACAGCTCGGGCCCGCCAGTGCCCCACCGGGGCCCTAGTTCTTTCTTTCTTTCTTTCTTTCTTCTTTTTCCTCCCCTTTGAACTGGAAAATGGCCCACTTCCCACTGGCGAAAACTCATGAAATTTGGCAGGACGACCGGGCCTGGTGAAAAATTCGATATTCTGAAGTCGCCCAAACAATAAAATGCAAAATGGCTCCATAGCGCCCCCTAAGGTGGAAATTCACACTATTGACTGTCACGCCTGTACGCTTTGTCATATTGACACAAAAATTGACACACATATGTATCTCAATAAGATCTACAAAAAAGTCAGTGCGGCCGTATCTGTCAAAATTACGGTTAAAGGGTTATTTCGCATTTTTTGCCGATCCGCACACATTGGAATTTCGCTAACTCCTCCGAAGGCTTTCGTTCCACCGGCACCACATTTGCTCAGGCCAATCTACACCCCGTGGCCATTAAAAGTTATCAAAATCATGACGCTGCACCCCAAGGTTTAGGTTCTAGGGGGCGCCAAAGATAACCCTAAAATCCACATATTTAAAAGTCTTATAACTTTTTATTTTTGTCCTCACTGGCCTCCAAGTTTTCTAGGATGATGCAATGTCCAGCCATCAACACATTTGTGAAGGAATTTTTACTCCCCAAAAGAGCGCCCCCCCATGGCAGGAGAAAAAAGTCCATTTTTTCTTGTCCCATAAGGTGAAAATACACATTGTTGAGTGTCACGCCTATACGCTTTGTCAAAATGACACAAAAATTGACACACACATGTATCTCAATAAGATCTACAAAAAAGTCCATGCGCGCGTATCTGTCAAATGTACGGTTAAAGGGTTATTTCGCATTTTTTGCCGATCCGCACACATTGGAATTTCGCTAACTCCTCCGAAGGCTTTCGTTCCACCGGCACCACATTTGCTCAGGCCAATCTACACCCCGTGGCCATTAAAAGTTATCAAAATCATGACGCTGCACCCCAAGGTTTAGGTTCTAGGGGGCGCCAAAGATAACCCTAAAATCCACATATTTAAAAGTCTTATAACTTTTTATTTTTGTCCTCACTGGCCTCCAAGTTTTCTAGGATGATGCAATGTCCAGCCATCAACACATTTGTGAAGGAATTTTTACTCCCCAAAAGAGCGCCCCCCCATGGCAGGAGAAAAAAGTCCATTTTTTCTTGTCCCCTAAGGTGAAAATACATATTGTTGAGATTCACGCCTATACGCTTTGTCATATTGACACAAAATTTGACAATCACGTGCCTTGCCTGGTATCATTTTTTTCAGCACAACCTCACCTGTGCGAATTTACAATTATTTTATCATGTTGACATACTGAATTTACACAATGGACCCAAATTCACACACAAAACATAAAATCCGAGTGGAAAAAAGTAACATTTTTACTTTGAAAACCACAAATATGTGGGATGAACTGTTTTTAAAACTTAAACTTCAAATAAAAATTGTAAACTTCAAAACATATGCAAATTTTTAACAAAGAACATAGTAATTTACCTCTATTTACATCAAAATGCGGGCAATGGCCCAGGCGTTCTTTGTAAAATTATTTACAAAACACTGTATAGTCTCACAAATGTCACTTTTTATTTATGCCACTACAAAAAAACATGATGTAAATGATGCATGATGTAAAACATGATGTAAAAAACTTGTGTAGATCCTCCTCTATGTCAGTCCATGTGTAATTTTTCCATAATTCTTTGTTTTTTGCAGCATTTTTGTTAGTGTAACTGCAGATTGTGCTGACAGTGTCTATGGCACAAAAAAAAAAAAAATTAAAATGCCTCAACATGAACCCCTGGTGGTCTCTGAGGGTGAAACCTGCTAACTGCTGCAGCTCTGTCAGCTTCAGTCTCCCATGCAGAGCTCTGAGCGCATGTGTGGCTCTG